AAAACAGGCATATGGTTTCTGATTCCATGGGGTTTGTTATCCTTTCCAAATAGCCAGCTTGACTTTAATCATAGCTATGTCTATTTCTTTAAGACCTGAAGCACAATAGGTCCTATAGTCTTGGGAGAGTCTATTCATAGATCTGATAAGACAGAGATGCACTGTCCTTTGTAAGACAATAGAAGGAAAGTGAAAGGAAAGAGAGCCAACATTTACTGAATACATACTAAATATGTGAGTTGGAGATAAAATTTGAGAATCCTCAAAATAGAGAAAAAAATGAAGCCAAGAGTGTAGCTGGGATCACCTTGGAAGAGAAAGCAAAGAGAGAAAAGGGCCAGGAACCTACCTGTGATGAACTTCGATGTTATGGTAAAAAACGAAAAAAAGACCACGGGCTTGAAAAAGAGATTAAGAAGGAGGAGGAGTCCGAGACACAGGAAAAGAGACAAAACAAAACTGGGAGAGAGTGACATTCCAGAAAGAAAGCCAAGACACGAGAGTGTAATAGGGGTGGGAAGAAGTCATCATTGGTGCCACATGCTGCTGAGAGCTCAAGGAAGGGGACTGGAACACATCCTAAGGACTTATCAAACAGAGGTTGCTGAGGACCTTAACGTTAAATGTTTCAGGGGCTGATGATGACAGAATTCAATCTGGAGTGGGCCAGGGAGGAGTGCAAAGGGAGGAAGCAGAGACCAAGAGGACAAGCAATGGCCCGGTGAAACAGCTCTGGAGAGAAGAAATACAGGGGGGCGGCTGGAAGGGAGTAGGAAGCCAACTGGCACGGGGAAAGTGTTGGGACTGAAATCCAGTTCTGACTCCAAGACTGAATTCTATAAATGGCTGCTATGCTGCTGTTTCTCAGAGTGTACATGCTAATCCATAAATCCTTCTTTCCTGTTTTCAGTAATAACTACTCACATGAGGTTCATCTATAGAAGAAAGTTCTGGAAATTTTGAGTATTTCCTTGCAAAGTCTAACTATCCCTCAGGTTTGTGTTGAGTTCAAGATCTTCAGAGACTGACACTTGCATGATCTACTTTCATTACATAACACCTGTAAAATGAGTTAAGCAGGGTGGTATTACTGTGATTTTATGAGTGAAGAAACTGAGTCACCAAGATATTTATGGCAGAACTGACACAAGAACCCAAGGCCTCTAATTCCCAGTCAAGTGTTCTTGCGACTCTACCACACGTTCCACAAGAAGGTACACAGGTTATGATGGCTGACATCTGCTGCTTTACCCTTGAAAAACCACTGCCAAAACTCTCTCCTCTTTTATAATCATTAGTAACAGTAGCCGAAGTAGCTGTAGTTATTGTCATAGTACAGTTAACAAAGCCTTGCCTAATACATTCCCTCACTAAACTCAAAATGAGTTCTCGGAGGTATCCAGGGCTGGTTCTCTCATAACTATTCTCCCATGTTCTGATGAGGACGCTGAATTTCACACAAGGATGCATGTTGGAGCTGGGTATAAATCTAGATCTCCAAACTCCAAATCCAGTGCTCTTGTCTTTGAGTTTGTGGCTCATAAAGGCTGGAGCCCTTCAAGAGTCTGATGAGAGTTATGGCCTCTCCTAACAGAAATGCATGCATATCATCAACAAAACCTGCACACAAATAAGGGGTTCACTGATCATCTGAAGTTAGGAAACCCTGCTCTAGGTTACGAGGTCTCTAAGCCAAATAAAGTGCTAGTTGATGAGGTTATGGTGGCATGATCCCTATTGGTGGTAATGGCATTGTAACTAGACACTCCTAGAACGGAGAACTTATGAAGCACTTCTCCTTGTCAGGATCGATCTTCCTTCTCTGCACCTGACGACACACTGCTTATATTCTAATATCGTATGTATTTCACTTTGCTCTGTGAAGATGTGCCTCCTCTACTGTAATGTAAGCCCATTGGCGGGATGGAAATGTCTAATATAAGTAACTACAATAACCATAACAATTACTTCTATCACTACCACTATCATTTAGCGAACACCTATCTCAGCTTGACACTTAATTGTTGCTACATGTCAGCCACTGTTCTAATTCATTTAATTTCTTAACAACCTTATGAAGTGTTAACTATTATCATTTCCCTTTACAGTGAGGCACTAAGGTACCAAGAGGTTAAGTCAACTGCCCGGGGTCACACAGCTACTAAGGCGTAAAGCTGAGACACAGGCCTTTTGGCTCCTGAGTCTATGATATTAACCTCAACTTCAGACTATCGCTCTTTATCCATCTACTATTTACATGGGGTTTCTCTGTTAATATGTATAAAATATCTTGCTTTCTGAAAAAGCCCAATAGCTAAGCATTAATTACCATAACAAGTTTAAAATAAATGGATTTCATTTTGAAATAATTTTAGATTTACAGAAAAGTTACAAAAATAATACAGACTTCCCTTATATTAAGAAATTAATATAAATATATTAGTAACTAATCTACATATGTCTTTGAATTTCTGACAGTTTTTGATCACTGAAGTCCTCTTTCTGGTGCAGGATTTAATCGATCATCACATACTGTATTTGGTTGTAACATCTCCTTAGAGTCCTCCAATCTGGGACAGCTCTTCAGTAATTCTTTTTTTTTTTTTTAAGATTTTATTGGGGAATTGGGGGAGGGGAACAGCGTTGGGGAATCGGGGAAGGGGAACAGACAGGATGTTGCTTCACTGGCCCAAGTTGGCACCATCATTGCGCTCTTCCCGGGCGAGGCAGATCAGTCGCCGGCTTCTGGATGGCCGCTCACAGTGGCTACTGGCCACTCCATGCTGGCTGCTGGCTACATACGGTAGCCCATGGCAACCCACTGCCACAGGGGCTGCAGCCTACGCCGTCGCAGGCGACTCCCGGCAGCCCAGCTCCGGGTTGAGCTGTTGTTCAGCATCGTAGCTGTGGAGGGCAGTGTCACTGGTCCTCTTATATGGGATACGAACCGGGGCCCTCTGGCACCCCAAGCCAGCTCTTAACCATCGCGCCACTCGGCTGGACCCTTCAGTAATTCTTCCAGTTTCATAACCTCCTTTTGAAGCAAATTAGCAAATCATTTCATAGGATATCCCTCAATTTAGGTTTGTCTGACGTTTTCTCATGTTTCCATTGAGGTTCTGTATTTTTGGCAAGAACATTACAGGCATGATGTTGTGTCCTGTTCAGTGCATCATAAAAGAAATACATGAGGTTGATGTATCTGACTGCCTGTTCTGTTAGCTTTGATCACTTGGGTGGGATGTTGTCTGCCTTATATATTGGCTCCACTGTGAGGTTATTAGTTTTCTTTTTATATTACTAAGTATCTTGTAGTGAGATACTTGGGGACTATGCAAATATTCTGCTTTGCATCATGTCTTCACTCACTAATTTTAGCATCTATTGATGATTCTTGCTTGTAACAATTATTACTGTGGTGTTTGCCCAGTGATGATTTTCTATTTCCATTATTTCTCTTACATGTATTAATTGTAAGTACATTGTCCTTACAGTGCACAGGAAGATCTGTCCTTTCTTTCCCATGTATTGATTTCTTAAATGATTTATTTATATTAGTCTGGCCTCATGGGGTTATTTTATACTACCATTATTTATTCTGTTGATTAACTTGTCCCTGATTAGGCCATTGAGAGATACTTCAAGCTGGCTCCTCAATAGTCCACATTTCCTTCCTGAGTACTTCCTTACTTTCTGGCATCATAAAATGTTCATGCATTTTCCCTGCCCTAGCCCTAGAATTGACCATTTTTCTAAGAAATCCTGATGACTTTTATTGAAGAAAAGGAGAATGGCATTTAGAAACCAAGATTGGGTGTTAGGTGTGCACATTTCTACTAGGGTGTCATTGTTTCTAGGCTATCTTAGCAGAGAGAGCTAGGGAGTATATATATATGTATACTCACACATGTATATGAGTAAGAAACCCTATTTGTGAGAAACCTGGCTGTCATCACCCACAATATATTTATTTGCTCAACTATAATATACACATAAAGGATTTTCAGAATAGCTAACCATACATTTAGGAAAGACAGATTTGGAAATCAGAGTATAATATTCATGTACAGTTATTTTATCTTTAGCCATAGAGCACACTGCCAAAGCATTCTTTCACGAAGTTACTACTTAGGTTACTTCTTTTCTTTCCCAAACCCCATTTAGTGTAGTTATGTTATGCATTATTAATACAATCGGTTTGTTTTTTACTGTTTGTATTCGATTTTGCCCACCCGCACCACACACATACATCCTGGTACCTATCTACCTACCTACCTTCTATCTTCTTATTTTCAGGGGGACATGAAGCATCTTCATGGTTCTAAGAGTTAGTTATATAAAAAGATGTACGCGAAGAAGTGTCATTCTCCTCTCCTTCTCTGTTCCCGTTCCCCCATTCTTTCCACCCCATTCCTACCCACCCCCTACAGGTAACCACTCTCAGTTTCGAGTTTAACCTTCCTGCATTTCTTTTGCACAGGATGAGTAAATACACACATATTTTCTTACATCGCCTTCTTTCACATGAAAGGGAGCACACCGCCGACATTCCTTTGCACTCCACTTTCTTCACTTGAGAATATATCCTGGAAGTCACTCCATATCAGCTATTATCCTCAGTTTTATGGATGAAGAGACAGGCTTAAAGAGCTCGAATAACTTGCCCAAGGTCACACACAAAGTAAAGAAGAAAGCTGGATTTCAACCCATGAAATCTTGACTCCAAAAATCCATGTTCCTTCTACTACATCTGAGTTTCCCACCCACAATTCCTGGAATATTTTAGGGGGATCTACAGATTCTTTGAATTCTCTTAGATCATTTAGAAAATGAACACCTTTGTGTTCTAGATCATCTGGATGATTGTCTTATCACCTAGCACTGCCAGGCATTTCCATCGCTCACAGGATCTGAAACACACACACATACACCAGCCTAAAGAGCAAACCCTGAACACAGTGAGTGAGGCACGGACAGCTGCAGGGCACGGGGACACCTACCTGGCTGCGGCCTTGGCTTGTAGTTCAGGGAAGGCAGCGTGGCCCTGCACCATGTGGTCTATCTGAAAAACCAGAGATGGTGGTCAGTTTTATAGTGTTTCTAATCTGTGTGGAAGCCAGAAAAGATAGGTTAAAATGTCCGTTTCTTTCCATTCTTTGTCCATAGAGGATCTAGGAATGGTAAAATGCTAACTCAGCGAGAGAGTGTCTCAGCTCTTTCAGAAACGGAGCTTTGCTTAACCTAGAGCTGGCCTCTTGGATTTACAAAACAAAGAAATTTAAAGAGAAGAGTACCAGGAAATGAAACTCCCAAGACTGAGCTGGTAGCAGCAGGTAGTATCAGGTCCAAGAATGAGGTGTGAGGAGAGGAGTGAGAAGGAGGGGTAACTCAAGGTAAATGGTGGGGGGCCAGGTGCTAAATACTAATCTGTGATTCATACCATTCCCACCTCCTGATGCAGGCTGTTACCCCAAGGCAATGTCCGACCTTGAATTACTCACTCTGTCTTACTAATGGAGAGAAGGTCAATGAAAGAAATCATAAGGAGCGAGTCTCAGTTAAAAAAAAAGAAAAGAAAAAAAAAAGAGTTGCCCCAAAGCTATCAAGAGAACCTCCACTGATTGAAAAGTTAACACATGAGAAAAGGGGACATAGCTCTCCAAGGACAGAAATGAATGTCTGCATTCTAGGCACAGCCATTTTCTTCTCATTTGAAATCCCATGTCTAAGATTTTATTCCTCAAGGCACTTGGTAGGTCTGAACAAAATATGTAATGTGCATCAGGAAGAGAAATGCTTCCCAGTGTGGTTACTCTGCTGGCTAGAACACACCCAATGCAGTGTTTGGGTTCCTGAACATAATCTGTGTATTTTCTCAATGTTTACATGAATCTCTAGGACTCCAAAATAACCATTCTGACAGATTTATTTTCACCCAGACTATGAACCAACTGGTTCTTTTGGCCTCATGGAGACAGTCTCTCTGAGCATGTTTCCTGAGAGCTAGGGCTGTCAAAGGAGGAAGGGAATTTGTCCTGGAGGCACAGTGGCTGGGATTGCAGCTGGCTCTGATACTGTGTGACTTTGTGAAAGTCACTTAACTGCTCTGAGCCTCAAAAACCTCCTTTCCCCTCCCCCAGCCTCCTTTTAAAAAAGGATTGCTAGGATGTAGAGAGTACCTTGAAGCCAACAATAGTATAAATACTACCAGCTGAAATTTATTTACTCATTTACTATATATTAATACTAAGCTAGGCATTTTACACACATTATGTCATTCCTTATGATACTGCTATGGAAAAAATATTATTGTCCACTATGGAGATGAGAAAACTGGCAGTAAAAGAGATAAAAAAAAAAATTTGCCCAAGGCCACAGGGGAGTAAGTGACAGATATAGGTCTCTCTGTAGCTAAAGTCCTTGTTTTTAACTACTATGCCATATTGTCTACTAAACTTCCAGGTGTAATATAATTTGTTGAATTCCATTTGTGCATATCTGCATAATGTTTCAAAACTATATCAAAGCTATTGGTCATTTCAATGGGGGAAAAATATGCAGGGTTTGAATATTTATTTCCTAATGTATTGGGTACTGTGCCTAGCCTCCAGGAATACAGTGGAAAATAAGAAATACAATACATACAATGCAGAGTAGCATAAAGGAAGAGATAAACAATTTGGCAATTATTATGTAGTTAGGGGAGGTGAGGCTTCAGCTTAGAGTCCAAGAACAGGCAGAGATTGGAGGAGTAAAGGGCTGAAGGCAAGGCATGCCAGAAAGGAGGCAGTGATAAGCAGAGATATAAGAAGGAGAGACTTATATGATTACGGACATACAGAGACTGGTCAAGCTCCGTGCTTGGCATATCAGATGCTCAATAAATATCTGTTGAATAAATGTGGGACGCATAAGCCATAATGAAGGCACACCACGTGCTCACATAGGGCTATGCACTTCTTGGTAGCACTTACCACACACTTTACAATTGTGTGGGTCACAATTTGGTCATAGGGTAATGTGTGTGTTAAATTAAAGAACATATGAAGTGGTGGAAATATTGGATGAAGGAGGAGGGTTAGGCAGACAGTGGATCTAGAAAATCAGGTGTGTGTGTATAGTTTTATTGGATTAGAGACCATAGGAAATTATTTTGACTTAGGGAGCAAAATGATGAGAAGTTAAAGAAAATTAGTTCGATAGGGTATGCGGGACAGGGAGATGGCTAGGCAGAGGGCCGGAAATGCAGGCACCTCAGAGGCCGACAGTGGGAACACAAGGCACAAATGCTCTCTGTCCCTGCTCTGTTGTGGCATTTGTCGAGCTCTTTTACAATCATTAGTTTACACGTCAGTCTTTTACTTTATAGTCTAAGCTCTTTTAAACGAAGAGCCTCATTATTCTCCCCACCCCTCTAGTGCCTATAACCATGCCCCGCATGGTGATTGAATGAATAAGACACATCTAAATAAATAAATAAATAAATAACAAATTTAGTGACTAACCAGTTACAGAACATAAGAAATTCAGAGTCACGAGTGATTTTGAATTTTTGAGTCTAAGAAAAGGAAATGTGGCCATATTAATCATGTCTTTTTATTTTCTGTATTTCTGATGCTTTGCTATCTGGGGCTTTATTGACCTTAGAGAGACTGCCTGCCCCTCCCAGGGGGAGCCAATTCCTAGAGATCCTAAAGGACTCAACTCCCCTGTGAGCATCCTTTTTATGCAAACTGATTGAGAGAGCCCGCCTCTCTACCACCTCCTCTGTGGGCCCCTATTTCCCTGCTCTACCAGGGCCGGGTACCAGACAGCTAGAGACAGCTCTGGAACTTCCCATGAGGCCCTGCGTGGCGTGGCAGGCCCCCTCCTCTTGACAATTGTAACAAACTATCTTTTCAATGACAACCATCTCCTGATTTGTTGGTCTCATCATACTTGACTAATAATAAAATCTACATTTTAAAACAGGGGCTTGATGAAAAAAAAACCATGGGCTTTGGAAACAGGCAGCGTTGGGTTCCAATTCATGGTCTATATTTATATTCAGGAAAAGCTACTTGACCTCTCAGAGCCTCATCGCCTACGACCACAAAATGGGGATAATACAATTTGCTTTGCAGAGAAGATTGTGGTGAAGGTCTGGCATACACATGGCTTCCAGTTCATAACACCTATTATTAAAAAGAAGGGGTACCACCAAAAGAGTAAAAATTGTTGGGAGAACAAGATTTCAAATGGCAGCTGCATTTCTGTGTGCTTGGTTTTTTTGTTTTTCACAGCATCTGGTGGGAAAGGCCTACCCTGATTAACAAAGAACAAGTCGGTTTGTCAAATAACTGAGCTCTCATTTCAAAAGCCTGGAGTGCCTGTGCCTGGGGTTGATCTCTCTGCTCATGTTTTATTCTCTAATGCATTTAGCACAGTATAGAAGAACATAGCGTCCCATTAGTGGTTATTTGTTTTCCAATGGAATAACAAGTTTAACCACAATGACTGTCTTTGCCAAGTGGTTGCCTGAGAAATATATAGACAGAGCTAGTCTAACTCTATGACTCTTTTCTTGTTTCCTCCATCTTCTCAGGTTTCCGCGCTGAGAGCCAGCAGCTGTAAGACTGGGCAGAAAAAGTCTACAAACTATGTGGATAGGTAGGAATCTTGAACTGAAGAGTCAGATCTTCTTCAAGATGACTTGCAGGTCTAGATCAAGAGGGAAAGGCCATCTTACAATATATAACCTGGGCTGGATTTTTAGGCCCTTCCTTATAAGGGTGGTGGTATCTGTATTTGGAACATGGGAGAAACAGAAATGATGTACAGTATAACACAGAAATTTAAAAAAAAAAGGGTAGTATGAGGTAGCATCTGGTCCACAGATGTATTTTATTTGGGGAATAAGTTTTTTTAAAAAATAAGCCAATATTTTAAAATTTGGATATTTCACTTGAAATCCAGATTTGGGTTTCTTCTGAAGAGCTGGTAAATATAAGACAAGAGGCCACTCATATTCCCCTATGGCAAGAGTCAGCGGGAGGTGAGTGGTGACTGATCCCTTCACACAGGCCTGCATCTTTCAATTTGTAAAAGCACCACTACTCCTTATCATTTCTCAACAACAGACACCGGATTTCATCAATTTATCATCATGATTGCTCTAATGTTTCATATGTAGTAGAGATCTATTTCTCTATACCCATCTCTGTCAAAGGAAGGATTATGGAATTCAGTCCTAGAGGACTATGAATTAAAAGAAAAATTTCTCCTTGGAAGTAAAAACAAATTTTTTATTTGCCTAGTCTGTTTATTCATTTATGCTGTCTGACTCCTTCAGGTATTTGAGTTTTTGACCCTTGACATGGCAGAGAGAACACAGACAAGGAATCGTGAGACCTGAGTTCATTTCTGGCTCAGGGCATGATCGTGGACAAGACCATTTCTAATTCTCTCTCTAAAATGTTTAATAACTTAATATTACAAATAGCCAACTGTTTGTAAAATTACACAGAGAACTACTTTGCCGGAGATACTAAAACTGTTGGCATGGAGTTCACAGACAAGAAAAACACATAACAAAGGCAAACATCAAGTTTAAAAATTTTAGGTTCTATGATTATTTTGCTAAGACAAAGCTATCTTATTGTATGGTGGGTTTTTCTCTATTAAAATCTGTTTTATGTATTAGTCTTGAGGCTATCTTTTACCTTGCTTTGCAGATAAAGAAATCACTAGGCTCAGAGAAATAAATGTTCATCATTTGTCACGGCTGCCTTTTCTCCATTTGTGTTTACCTGTAATGTCACTTTTTTCATCTAAGCTATTCCCACTCTTCACTTACCTAGTCTTCTTATCTCAAAGTGAAAACATTTTGCCTGATTTTCCCAGCCTTAAAATTCTCATGAAAATCTAATGAAAGAAAGCCCAATCTAGACAATTTCTTTTATGCTACTTTAAGGATTGTGGGCTTCGATAATGAATAGTTCCGAACAGTTCCTAAGAACAACAAACATTCCTGAAAGAAAATCCAAACTTGTTTTTACAACTTTAATACTAGTTCTACATAGA